TTGAAGCATTCAGTCCACTTTGCTCTGTTCTTGAGATCTGACATTGACTTGGCAGCTGTTTGCATCACATATGCCTGTGATCACCACCCTTATTAACATAATTTGTGTTGACCTGGCACTTATTTGTTCCCTTGTGTGACCGCAAGGGAATGGCGATGTTTACCAAGTAAGCACAGGCTGAGCAACATTTAACTGAGATATTCCAGGAAACACGTCAGATGATACACCAACAGCAATTGTAATGAGAAAAAACACTCTGCTGGGAGGTGACCCGACCATGATTAAAATATTAGTGGAGACGGGGGAGCAAATAACTAAAGATGGGTGCTGTCGGCTCCTGATTTCCTTCACCACGCCATCGATAGCTGTGGCCAGAGGCATTATGTTTTCAGGTTGTCCATCCGTTCACTTGGACTTAACAATGAATTTTAGTCATTATAGGTCAAAGGTCAAGATCATTGTGACCTCACAAAACATGTCTTTGGCTATAACTCAAGAATTAATTTGCCAATTATGACAAAATTTCACACGAATGTCAAATAGGATATAATGATTAAGTTATGACATTTTATATTCAAAAGGTCAAAGGTCAGCTTCACTCTGACATCATGATGTTCTGCAATAACACTTTTCTGGCCATTACACAACATCATATCTCAGGAACAGAAGGGGAGATTTGGTCAGATACTGAATTGATGATACTAACCTTGGTGTCTATCTTGAAACTCTGCTGATTGTATAGATCAGGGGTGTCAGAAGTGGCCCGCCAAAGGGTCCAATCCAGCCCACTAGATGACTTTGCAGACCTAGTAATGTTACTGTTGTGAGGGGTAAGAGATGCCAGGTTTCAGGAGCGATTTAAACAGTGAGTAGATACTTCATGTAAAATGTTACCGTAGAGGCTTTTCCACCTTGAGCAGAATACAGCTCTTCAAAATAATGAATAAATACTTTATTTTCCAGTGACAGGATATATTAAAAGCACGTGCAAAACAAAACAAAGAGGCACACAGAGCACAAAAGGCTGCCAATCAGTTTACAAAATTAAATGAATAATCTTTCAAAAATGTAACATCTCGAGAGCAAGGTAAATGAATAAATCAATCTAGTTCAACATCAGACCCACTCATGTAGCCAGGCAGGGCAGAGTCCCTATGTTTGCAGGGTGATGTAACACTGTACCAAGAGAGATCCCCAAATTCTTTCAGATCTATTCTGTGCGTTGGATTTGTGCAGATGCAGTACTGTATTATGGACATGTCCTTGAGCCAGTGTACAAAACAGGGTGGAGTGGTAGACTTCCATATGAGAAAAATAAGTCTCTTAGCAACCACCATCCCTGAGTGCAGAGCGATCTGTATGTCATAGAGCAACTCAGAGGTCTCTGCAGAACACACAAAGATGGCCCGGTAGGTGGAGGGCCAAGCCCACATATCTGCTCCTCTCCCTATAAAGGGAGGACCCCGATTTCTAAAGTTGTGAAGACTATTTTTTCTCAATTATATTCTATTTGTTGCAATTCGAAATTCATGCACATAATTCTAAAATCATATTTTAAAGTTTACATTGACAGGCAAACGATGCAGCGTACGATATCAGTCGAACCAATCGCACATTAAGATACTGACAGAGGGACGATATTAACTGAACAGAGTTAGCAACACTGAGCACAGCTGTTTGGTCTGTGATGGACAGAGCACCAGGGACATCACAATGGCACTGCTCAACATGTAGTGAGGATAAGTAGTAATGTTACTGGGAATATACCAGCTATGGCTTTGCAACTTGTTTGGTCTCTACAACATTTTGTTGAAAGGTATGGTGACCTTTTGTAAGTGTAAGGGTAGCATTAGCGCTCACATATAATGATGCTAGCTAGCGTTTGCTGGCTGCAGTTACGTCATGCAGGTTGGACTCCAAATCTAGCTGCCTGCTCTGTATGCCAGAAAAAGTAACTCAGACAAAGTTATTGATAAACAAAAAATTATGAAGTACGAGTGTCAAAAGTTTTTCCCATAAGTTGAAAACAAAAAATTAGCTCCGCTCTCATTGGTGATCGTTTAAGTGCATGAAATCTCCTGCTGGCCCACTGTCTGAGGTTGTGGTTGGGTTCAAAGTCTCTGGAATAGACTTTTGAGAGTCATTGTAAAACTGCAGTCCAATAGTTATACAGTGTAGCACAAAACCAGAAAGATGTGCAAGTGACCCTACAGCAGAGCAGCACCTGTCACATTTGTAGAGTCACCACTTTTATCAGCACCTGTTTGGTAACTCGTTATATTAATTGGTAACTCGTTACTTTACATACAGTACAGGCCAAAAGTTTGGACACACCTTCTCATTCAATGCGTTTTCTTTATTTTCATGACTATTTACATTGTAGATTCTCACTGAAGGCATCAAAACTATGAATGAACACATGTGGAGTTATGTACTTAACAAAAAAAGATGAAATAACTGAAAACATGTTTTATATTCTAGTTTCTTCAAAATAGCCACCCTTTGCTCTGATTACTGCTTTGCACACTCTTGGCATTCTCTCCATGAGCTTCAAGAGGTAGTCACCTGAAATGGTTTCCACTTCACAGGTGTGCCTTATCAGGGTTAATTAGTGGAATTTCTTGCTTTATCAATGGGGTTGGGACCATCAGTTGTGTTGTGCAGAAGTCAGGTTAATACACAGCCGACAGCCCTATTGGACAACTGTTAAAATTCATATTATGGCAAGAACCAATCAGCTAACTAAAGAAAAACGAGTGGCCATCATTACTTTAAGAAATGAAGGTCAGTCAGTCCGGAAAATTGCAAAAACTTTAAATGTGTCCCCAAGTGGAGTCGCAAAAACCATCAAGCGCTACAACGAAACTGGCACACATGAGGACCGACCCAGGAAAGGAAGACCAAGAGTCACCTCTGCTTCTGAGGATAAGTTCATCCGAGTCACCAGCCTCAGAAATCGCAAGTTAACAGCAGCTCAGATCAGAGACCAGATGAATGCCACACAGAGTTCTAGCAGCAGACCCATCTCTAGAACAACTGTTAAGAGGAGACTGCGCCAATCAGGCCTTCATGGTCAAATAGCTGCTAGGAAACCACTGCTAAGGAGAGGCAACAAGCAGAAGAGATTTGTTTGGGCCAAGAAACACAAGGAATGGACATTAGACCAGTGGAAATCTGTGCTTTGGTCTGATGAGTCCAAATTTGAGATCTTTGGTTCCAACCGCTGTGTCTTTGTGAGACGCAGAAAAGGTGAACGGATGGATTCCACATGCCTGGTTCCCACTGTGAAGCATGGAGGAGGAGGTGTGATGGTGTGGGGGTGTTTTGCTGGTGACACTGTTGGGGATTTATTCAAAATTGAAGGCACACTGAACCAGCATGGCTACCACAGCATCCTGCAGCGACATGCCATCCCATCCGGTTTGCGTTTAGTTGGACGATCATTTATTTTTCAACAGGACAATGACCCCAAACACACCTCCAGGCTGTGTAAGGGCTATTTGACCAAGGAGGAGAGTGATGGAGTGCTGCGGCAGATGACCTGGCCTCCACAGTCACCAGACCTGAACCCAATCGAGATGGTTTGGGGTGAGCTGGACCGCAGAGTGAAGGCAAAGGGGCCAACAAGTGCTAAACACCTCTGGGAACTCCTTCAAGACTGTTGGAAAACCATTTCAGGTGACTACCTCTTGAAGCTCATGGAGAGAATGCCAAGAGTGTGCAAAGCAGTAATCAAAGCAAAGGGTGGCTATTTTGAAGAAACTAGAATATAAAACATGTTTTCAGTTATTTCATCTTTTTTTGTTAAGTACATAACTCCACATGTGTTCATTCATAGTTTTGATGCCTTCAGTGAGAATCTACAATGTAAATAGTCATGAAAATAAAGAAAACGCATTGAATGAGAAGGTGTGTCCAAACTTTTGGCCTGTACTGTAGGTTGGAAAAAAATATATACGTTTCTTCCCTGTTCCAAAACCAAAATCAAACCCTGAGAAGTGTAGGGTTAGCTAGCTAGCTGAAGATACAGCCTAATGAATGTATACACATGTTGCTTTTGCTTTTTAATGATTATAACAGTGAAACAGTGAAACAAAGACCAACCCTGCTGTACAGGAACCAGCGACGGGAAGCAGGGAAAATCGCAGTGTGTGCAGATGAACAGTGTTTGACTTCCCCGGAGATCCCTGCCCATCCAGCAGTATAGCGTTCATCTGCACACACTGTGATGCCACACAGCTGGTTCAATATCAGCAAGTTTCCCTTTATATTCATTGTCTTGTGTGGCGATCAGCAGTGATGTGGTGGTTCACTTTTACACTGTGATCTGTAGCCTATAGTTCGGCTTTAGCTTCTAACTATCTTTGTCTTTTTAACCTGTTGTTGCTGCTGAGTCAGTTTGACATCCTGGATATATCCTTCAAACACAGACTGTAGACCCCTCTGTCTGCTTCTCTCTGGAATCACTCTTTCATTTTTCCAAAAATATGATAATATTTCTTCAGGGAGTGCAGTTAGTTACAGTGTGGGCTCCATGCTTACTCCGACAGCTTGTCAGACCATCACAAAGGGGCGGGGCTTAGCCAAAGGCCAGTTGTGTGCCTCCAAATGTATCTCCTTCTGCCAAGGCAGTTGGAGTGATGTTTGTTTTGCACTTCAAAGGTTTAAAAGACCTTCAAACTTAAAAAGTCCTTTCCTGTACATCACAGCATTCTTGTTCTGGAACACTCTGCTTTTTTTACATGCAGGAGCAATTCTCACGTTAGATACTGAATATACCTATAGCCATCATGAAGAAACAGGATGAACTTCATCTCGTCTACAGCAACACGAGGCAAAGATCTGTGTATCACGAAAGAGCGAGGAGTGAGAGAATGTGTGGATTCTTTGCCCTTTGGTGTGACAGATTGGAACATTTGAATGGCCTTAAAATGTATTTAATGAAAGACGTTTGGTTTTGGAGGAAATAACTGCTGTCTCTGTCATATTTTCTCTTCCAGGGGATAATAATGGGTGGCCACATCTTTTCGACAAGTATTTTGGAATGCCCAGCCACAACACTGGGACCAAGTCCAACGTATGCTGTAAGTGCTGGTATTCTGTTTTAACTGCATGTGAATTTGTGCTTGCATGAAAACAAACTTTTTGTTTTACACCTCCTCCAAACAGTAATTGTGTGTGAATCCGAACAAACCCTTTTAAACACCAAAGTCATACAACATCACAAAGCAAATAACTCTTCAAGGCAGCAATAGACCAGCATCTCCTGTGTACAGCAATGTTAAATCACTGTTTTTCCCAATAGAGTCTGGCTTTGAGGAGAGCATATAACTGCTTAATTTTCCCGTTGGAAATCACTGTCTGACAGTAAGGTAAAGCAGTGAATATATTACTGAGCATAGCGTTAGTTCAGACAGGACACAATGTCACGCTCAGCTCACATCCCAGCTACATCAGCTGATTGCAAATAGCCCAATCAACTGATGGAGCAGCTGACTGATGGGAGGGAGTCAGCTGATAGATCACATGATTCCTTTATATGATACCAGCTGGAAAATCTCATTCAGAGTGCCCTATTTAAACTGCTCTGGCCTGCCCACTGTTGCTGCTTCCTCTGCAAGCTGCTTTACAACCTGCCTCCACCCCAGCTCCTCCTTTTCATGCTGTGTCTGACTTATCACTGTCATCTCTGTTTGTCATTGATGCTGCTCTGTTCTGTTGCTAGGGGGTCTTTGCTGCTGCTATCCCTGCCTTAGGCTTTCCATGTAGGCGCATGGAAGGGCAGAGAGATGTGCTCTCTCCACCTTAGGCTTTTCAAGTAGGCGCATGGAAGAGGCTTTCAGTGTAGGCGTAGAGAGGCCCTCGAGCAGAGCCATACCACCAAATATAATACTGCGAATGAAAATAAAGTTTTCTTTGACTGAAGTGGCCCTGGCTGAACTAAATTTAGTGTTCACTTAAAGGGATATTGATTTTTTTTGTTGCTGATCCCTCCACAGCAGTGGATTGCTTAGCTTCCCTGTCAGCCTGCTTTCTCCAAACTGGGGGCGTGTTGACTGACATCTACTGTCTGTTATATATTGTCTATGGATAAGTACTCCATCCAACCCCACTTCAAAAAATCTGAACAATCCCTTTTACTAACACCTGTCCATCCTTACCCCCTGATTCATTCAGTTCAACTACAGTTGTGCAGTGCTAGTGAAATTTATCACCATGAACTCGGAGTTAACAATTGCATTTTGTTTCAAAGAGTGCTTCTCTTTTCTGCTTGTATGCTAGAAAAGAACGAGTTTGAGCAAAGCGTTTTCTGACTGATGTCTGGAATCAAAATTGTTTATAGTTGTCCCAAATTGCCACAGTCGAAGGCAGAGTGAAAAGCCAGCTGTCATAGAGAGCGGGAGAAGCAATAACAGCCTCTCCTGGAAGACATTCATGGTGTTGCGCCAGTTTGTGCACATGAAAAATGCCACAAATACTATAACAAATGAAAAAAGAGAGCGAGAGAGAAACTTCTTATCACTTCTGCACAGCTGGCCTATGTCAATTTCAGAAATTGTTGGACACATCCTGGAAAGGTGTGAAGAGAGGGGGTTCCTGAAGCTGTTCTACCAGCCGACAAGCAGTTGTGATGAAGCGTACTGGCAGCTTAACATTATCCCCCTTATAACCAAGACACAGGAAAAACAGAAAATGTCTTGGTGATATTAAAAAGTAAGAGCAAAGAAAATGAGAAATGCATGAAGGTAAACATTAGCTGACTTGCTAATGCTTACCTGTTGTGCTGTGCCAACATATTTCTGAAGGTAAGATTCAGCTGAAGGGCACAAAATATAATAAGTAGCATGGATATAAATATGAAATACTACATTTGAAAAGATAAGGTAAAAAGCATTGCATACCTAAATAACAAGTCAATCATTGTTACCTATGGAGAAAAGATAAGACAGACTGTTCTCCATAGACTCTTACCCGCAGGATGAATGCCTTTTAAACTATTTTTTTAAAGTAGCTGTGGCAAATATGTATGTTACACCCAACACAATTTTGTGTCAGTTTATTTTTTTTCTGATGCAGTCTCCTTTTTTTGGCATGTAAAGAAACTCATTTTTGCAGCTTTCCAATTAACTGAATCAGATTTTAGGAAGGTAAATGTACCCTGCAAGTTAAATATAAGCTCTATTGATTTACTGTTATTTAATGCTTCTTGTCAGGTGCTTTTAATGAAATGCCTTTCATATTGAAAGCTGTGAATTCAGTTGGCTATTGGCTTGTCAGAGTTGATATATGTGAAGATGAATAATGCATGCATGGCCTAATAGTTGACACAGTCATAGTTTTAATTTGCCCTCAGCCCCAAACGTGAAAGCTCAAACAAACAACTTCAAGTTTTATGAATTTTCTGCTCACAGTGAACGGTTTTAAAGTTTCTTCTTGATAAGTACTTTTCTGAGTTCATGCCTCTTTATTCTCCCACCAGTAGCAGGTTTACACTACACAATTTTAGACCTGATTTTCCAGTCACAGACAGTTTTTGAGATCACCAACAAAAGCCCCAGATCAGAGGCAACTCAGCGCTCGCTCTCATGAGTACTGATCTCTGTGTGTAAATTTTCAAAGAGGTTAGCTGAGAGATGCACCGATGGGTCTCCCTAACCATTCTCTCCTCTATTTTTTTTTTTTTTATCCCTTTGGTTTCTCGCTGCAAACCAGTGCACAAAAACTTGGATCACCGCGTCCTCTGGCATCCACTTTTGAGGGAAAGAACTCCTGAACCTGAGTGGTCTTGCAGCTTTTCTCATATAACTTCTCGTGTGTGTTTTTTGACTAAACATATCAGGAGAGACTCGTTCTGAGAGACAATATTCATCTACACGTGCACATAAGAATAAGAAATGTGAAGAGTCTTTGGTGATTAGACCCCATTGTGATCAGGGAGTCTAGATGCTGATGGCAGTAATGGTGGTGGTGATGAGATGAGATGAAGAGGGAGCTGAGGATCTGGATGTGAAGAGGAGTGGCCTTTTGATGAGCTCGTCCTGGGCTCTGGATAAGGTCACTGGGGGTGAATGGGGTGGAGGAGGGTGCAGTGATTCTGCCTCATATGACAGCTGACAGGAGCAGAGAGGAGAACGGATTTAAAGTTTGGCAGCAGCAACATGAATGGCTGAAGGAGATCGCGGCAAAGCGGCTAACCAGGAGAGGGAACACACATAGTCAGCTGATTGGTGGAAGTGGTGGGAGTGGGATAGAGAGAGAATTGTGAATGGATGTAGCATAAAGAAAGTCTTCCTCATTGAAGTTACACTGAGCTTCATTTTGGAGATCAGACAGATTTGTGTGGGATTGCTGCCAGTGACATGTCCTGTGATGTGTGATAACCTGTCGTCAGTCACATGTGTAATGTGCAAACCACAACAGCTTCAAGATACCTCATTATAAGACAGGTAGTTGCATAATGTGATCATCACAGCGATCTGATGACTTTGAAGGTCATATAGTGTGTTGGTGCCATAATGTGAGAGTGGTTTGAACACTAACATCAAATGCTTTGTTCACTAACAACCATACCACCTGCTTTTTCCATCTGTTCCACTCCAGTTTTGCCTCTGAACTTCCAGGTTGCTATTTCTGGCTATAATAATTTCAGGAGGTGACCTTTCATGTTCTATTAATCATAAGAAAGCCAGGGATCAGCCTGTCACAGCATTCTCATCCCCTGCTCCCTGACTCGCAGTGCACCGTACTCCCACGTCGATCCTTGCAGGTGGTGAGGCCACATGTCGACAGCCCCATGTTCTTTCCTCCGGCTGAGCAAGATGACCGTGTTGCAAGGTAGTCTGTGTAAATGTGGAAGTTTTTCAGATTATTAGTTATGAAAAAGGCTTTGGCTTTGACGTTAACATCCCGCCTCTCTCCAACCTCCACAGTATGAATGATGTGTGGAGGAGCTAATTAATCCCAATAGGATTTACTTGCTAGCTTATGATATAATTACTCAAACGGATTTCTTGCATTATAATTAAAAGATCTGAAACTCAAGATACTGTAAAAGGAGGATTTCGGCCAGAAAATGTAGCAACAAGCGAGCAAGTGATATGTGGAGAGAGAGGTGTGGGTACAGCAGTGGTGGGGCCGAGATGTGAAGGATTCAATGGAGGAACAGTTCCTCCAAAACTCTGGGACGCCCAGCACTATATTCCAATATCTCTGCTGGCACCTTACAACAAGGCTGTTCTTCTTGTCCTGTAGTTTAAACGGACTGCTCTGACACTGTATGATGAGTAATCTGTGCCTGTGCAGGGAAGTATGACAAGGAGAAACCTATTCACAGTTCTCATTTACACAAACTCTCAGAGAGCTTCTAACTTAGTTAAAATTCTAGGGAGAAGTCTTACTTAGTGATTTAGGAAAATTCTCAGAGCAGGTCTGATCAAAGAATGGACAGAAACTTTTACCTTAGTGAGGAGGTACGGTTGACCTCAGCATACCTGTCAAGTTTTGGATTTGAAAATAAGGGAAATTTTCTGGCGCCCGCCACGAGCCGTCCCACCACCCCAACCAAGCTCCAGTATCCCTTACATTTTAAGACAGGTGTACACAGAGGCGGTTCTGGCTAGTTTTACGCCCTGGGCGAACCATCCCTTGGCCCTACTTTTCTATAATACATCAATGATATTTCAATGGAATAAATTACTTATTGACTTATTCATACTTCATAAACAGCATCAATAAGTGATTAACATAGCGGGGATTGAAATAAAATAAATAAATAAAATAAAAATCAACCAGCCACCCGCCTCCCCTGACAAGTAAAGAACAGTCCCTAAAGTGCGGTGAGGTTTGTGGACTGTTACCTGCCACAAAGAGAGAAATGTGAATGGCTCGTTTCTCCTCTGACACGCCACATACCTGTGTGCCGCCACGGCTCAGCTGTCCAGGTACTACTGGGCAGTCATGACGCCAACGAAAGAGGAAATTACTGGACCTGGAGTTGGACTTCTCTGTCGCCGGTAAGCCGTTATCTTGCACCGCAGAGCACTATGAGCCTCTGCCGTATTCCTGTCTGTGACCCCCGTTCAAC